CAACAACGCGGCGTTATATTAGGTCGTTGCAAAAGAAATGCAGGATTTTGCTTGCTTGTATTTCATACTTATTTTATTCCAATAATATGTTACTTTAATATGAAGTGTTATATACTATTCGGAAGCTCATCTCATGCTCTTTCTAAATGATACTCCAAGATTGGTTGTAATTCATTTTTATTTATAACTTATTGGACATTGCATGTCGAAACGTGAATTTCGCACTATTTTCTTTCATGAGTTCAAGCTAGGACGAAACGCTGCCGATACAGCTCGGAACATTAGCGAGGTTTGGGGTCAAGGAAATATCATGAATCCACGGTCCAACGTTGGGAATTTCCCAGAAGTTCGCGTGTGGCACACCAGCCATTGGAAGCAATGAACTTTACCATGTTTGGTGGTCTGCCGCCCGCGTCTCATCACATCACAGCTTCCTGAATCCTGGTGAAACAATTACGGCAGAGAAGTACTGTCAACAAATCGACGAAATGCATCAGAAGCCTTAACGCATGTGCCCAAGGTTGGTCAATATGAAGGGACTCCACGATTCCGGACTCTTCTCCACGACAATGCCCGACCACACTTTGCACAATTTACCCTCCAGAAAATAAACGGATTGGGCTACTCTGCCTCATCCACCATACTCATCAGACCTGTCGCCCACCGATCACCACTTTTTCAAGCATCTGGACAACTATCTTAGAGAGAAAGGCTTCAAAAACCAAGGACGATGTCAAAACGCCTTCAACAGGAGATTTGTCGGGCCTCTAAAAAGAATTACAACACAAATCTTGAAGTATCATTTAGAAAGAGCATTAGATAAGCTTTCGAATGATATATAACACTTACATTTTATTGGAATAAAATAAGTATTAAATACAAAAAAACGAAAACAAAATCCCTGCAGCTTCTTTTGCAACGACCTAATATTGTGACCGCGTCAATGAAGGTGGCTCGTGAGCGCAGAAACTGCCGCGAAAGGAAATAGAAAAGCGTTGTTATATTTAGGGCTTTCTCGACAGTTTGATTTGGCTTTTCCTCTTACGGGTAAGTCAACTCGCTCATGAAGTTTGTTTTCAATTAACTCTCCAGTGTTTTCCAATTTAAACGTTTAGGTTTCATGGGCTCCTCCTAATTACCATTGCTTCAACTTGACACACTGCCGTTATCGTTTTTTTTTTGTTCTGTGGCAAGTATTCGCACTTATGAGTAACTATTTAGCCAATGCAAAGCGTTACGCCAGCTTACACCATTCGCCGGGCCACAATAGCCGATCATGACGCTTTCCTGGATATTATGGTTGAGGCGTACACAAAATCTGAGCCACTGGCAAGAGCCCTGAATGTCTCTGTGGGAGATGCCGAGGAGTTTTGTAGAAGTACGACAAACAACTTCTAGACATAGTACTGTGTCGGAGTGAATCTAAAATTTTGAAGGCTTCCTGCCACACTATCTACCACAAGGTTATTCGCTGGCAATGGAAAGCGAAGGACAGATGGTCGGGGCATATCTGATGCAGCTTGTTGAGAGGTATTTACCACCTCTCATTACAGCCAGCCGCACACGTTTCAAATTAATCACAGTTTTACATCTCGAAAAAAAGTTTATGACGCTTCCCATTTCGTGATTTGTTTTCCAGTGATTGAAGGCAGTCGCAGCTCTGAGACCTGAACCATCGCCATATGCTTGAGAACGGTAGGGGGAGGGCACTCATCAAGATGGGAGGAGTTCTACAATAGGATCTCAGCTCTGGTGGTTAACCCTTCTCTACCTCAAGTAACAGTCGAAGGGGAGTGAATAGGAAAGAACAAAAAAGAAGAAAGAAAGGAAAAAAGCGAAGATCCTCCAAAGCTTATGCATCCCATGTGTTCCCATTGATGCAGGAACGCACATCACTTCAGCTACAACCTAGCACAAAGAAAACGATCCACCCTCGAGGAGATTCCCAGATGTGCCCTGGGTTGAAGTAGATCCAAAACCATTCCAGCAGTAGCGCTAAAATGGGTTGTCGATGTCTAACTAACCCTCCTACTGCCTTTAGAGACAAACTGTACCCTCACTTTGTGCATCCTGGTAATTGCTACTTGCGGAGGGAATGTGTCGGCCGCTACACTGATAAGCCACTTTCTCCGCTCAATCGTGCACAAGAACTGGGCTGTAGGATACCAAGCCCAGTGCTCGTGCACGTTCTCGTGATACTTAGATGTCGTCTTCCTGCTCCGCCCGCACTGCTGCCCTGCCAGCCACAAGCCTAACTATAGCCAGATGTGCTCTTTTGTCTGCGCCCTCTCGCTTCTGCGTTTTCGCTGCATGCATGTCACAACCGTCCAGCCCCATTTCTGTACATTCGAAAGAAGAAAGTGCCACGCTGCAGACACACCACCTCGCACGTAGGAGGAGCCGTCCTCAAAGGTGAGTGAACAGTTTGTCTGCGAATATACGGCGAGTACACAGCGAGCTAGTCGCGTGCTGAAGTCGTCCGCACTGTCGCGATTTCCTCGTTGGTGCGCTCGCCCTCTCTGTGCTGTCAAAGGAAGAGATCCACCAATGAATAAGGCGCACCCGACCAAGTACTTGCTCTCATACAATCCACGCGGAATGTGCTTTACTTTAAAAGGGTCACCTGACTTGTCGCTTTCCCACAAAAGCCTCAGAGCTCTCAGGTTTGTGTTCCGTTCGCAGGTCTTCTTTTGTGAATGTCAACGTTTAATTCAGGCCGAATCCCATCTACGAATCCGGCCCTGATCCAGACCTGCCACCGAAGATTTTCCTCATTGAGAGTATTGCGCATAAATTAACCGAGAACGTGAGTAACTATCAAATTTATTTCAAATTCTCTTTATGTGCGGTCAACGAGATTTCTTCGACAGCTGTACATAAAGAGGCTTTAATATTTCTGCAATGGCACTGCATTGCTATGCACTTGATTCAGTTTTGGGACTTGATGCCTCCACAATTCAACAGCTGCATACATGCTTTGTATACGGTAGTGACTCCGTCATGGCAGAATCGCGGAGCTGGAACAGCACTGAACAGCGGCAGCGATTCGACTAGCCAAAGACTGTGGTGTTGATCTTGCCTTCGCCGAAGTCCTCAGTGACAACGTCTCCAGGGTATGTGGGTATTTACGAATCTATTTCTGTTCATGAGCCTTAGGAGCGGTAAGGCATTACCCTTGACATCGTCGAAATCAGTGAAGATGTGGTCAGAAGGCAGAGAATACGCTCATCCGCGGGTTTATTTGACTCTTTATTTTCCTCCTTGATTTATCTGTTGGTAAAAACGCCGCGGGGTGGGCCCCTTCCCTGCCTCTTGCACCATCCCGCCACATTGAGGCTTATATCAATTACATACACTCTTTTTCCGAGCGGACCTTGTTAACGAATGCATTTTATTTAGCGCAGTTTCATCAACTGCCCTCGGCAGACGGCGTATACCTTTGTTTGACGTCCAGTTCTACTCTGCAACTGCATATCTTCCAGAAGAGCCAGTAGAAACATGCGGGAAACTGTCTTGAAATGCGCACCTTAAACGCGCTCAAGTTTCCGCCTGAGACTTTAGCAACAGCTAACAGCAGGATGGATGATTATACTCGAAATCCCTGAGATCGGGTAGGCGTGGCCGCATGTTTCAACTTAACCTGAAGGTGTCTATGCTTCTGGTGAGATATTTTCATCTTGACACAATTGTTGTCGTGTCTCTGTCCAACACAGAACAAGATGACAGTTGTCCCAGACTGGAATATTCCACGAGTAACCAGTTCCGTGCCATGTTCAAATGCCACGCCTACTCTGGCTCAGGGATAAGGAGGTTATAAGGATGTTACCTGCGGCGACACGGCCTTGTACACTGCACATTCCAGCGATGGATGTGCGTGGCTACTTACTTTACCAGAACATGGCGTAGGATGCGTTGTGAGATATCACAAGTGAGGTCCTAGCTTATTCTGAACAAAATCGTGGTTGCAACTGTTGGAAACTGCAAACGGACTCTCCACTCGTGGGGCAGAGGAGTGCATGTGGCATGAGGTGTTAGGCAACTGGGTTCCGGTCTACGCACAGTTAGAACCCGATTTCTTTAGTGGCGCCAACTGTTTTGTCTGCGTTCTCTTGCCGCTTGTGACCACTCTGACCTTTCACACTCCATCTTTTCGCGCATACTAACACGCACACAACACACACATACTAACACATGTAAGTGGCTCATCCACCGGTGTTCCCCTCCCTTTTGAAAAACTCATCTCCTGGCTCGCGTCATATTTTCTGTACCTCCCGTTGCCTTGGCGTCGTGGCTTATTTGTTGCTCTGC